TTAAAGTTCTATCCATTCCACTGAAATGTGTTTTGTCTGTGTCCTCATTGGAGAATATTCCCATCATTTTCTATCCTGGTATCTCCCTACTAGGAACACAAACTGCAATAAACCTTATGTAGACTGTAACCCTTCCCTGCTTTATTAATAGAGATTAAGTGCACCTTTGTGAGAAACCAACTGTTATGTAAGTCCTCATATTTTAGCAACTTGTGGTCTAAAATAAGAATATACAGCACATTGCTATAGTTAGTAAGTATGATAATAAGTAGTAGTGAGTATGCTTTTAAAATCTTACCCTAGTCTGTAGGCTCTAGGCACAATCGGAAATCCATGCCTGATAGCAGGGAACAATATATTCAGTATTATAACTGCTCTCCCTTCCAGTGATGTCAAGGAAAATAAAAAGAAAACTACCAGATATCATCTTGGTGCCTCCCTGAACCAGACCTCATTTTGGTGCCAGCTAATGAAGAACAGGCGGCTCAGCAAAAAACCGTATATGCAAATGTCAATTACTGTATATCATTTGCTGCACTGGAGAAGACACTAGTACAGCTATATCTTTTCGTTCTTTAGATTTATAGGTCCTTCAAATAATACGAAATAAGATTATTTTCTACCATAAACCTCCACTAAAATATGCTAACTTTTATTTTCATGGTCAAAGGAAATAGTTACATTACAGTTTTACAAAGTGTATGGGGTTATATTAGTGAAAGAGCAATTTATATCCTTGCATGAATGGGACTTGCAATGTCCTATAAGGGTCAGTGAAAGTACTCCTCTGCCTTCATTACATGATGCATTGAAATGCAAATAAAAACCTAAGAGGTATAAATAGATAATATACTCCTTTGCCTGACTACCATAGTATAGTGAGTGACATCATCCTGCTGCCAAGTAGGTCCCAGGGAATGCTGTACAGTCCAAGATTATCTTCTCATGAGATTTGGACTCACAGGATTCCTAGAGGTCCAGCTGGAAGGAGGGTGACACACCTCTTGCCTGGGTGCTGTGGAAGAAGCCTGGGGAGAAAAAGTAAGCTGGTATACTTTCCCCTGGCTTTCTCCTGCAGCACCTAGGCAAGGGTGCTGTCATCTTCCTTCAGGTGAGAATTTTGTGAATGCTGATAGCAGGGGCGGACTGACAACTCATGGGGCCCCCGGGCAATAGGGGATCATGGGGCCCCTGTGTCCTTGCCCAAACTCAAAAAAGCCTATGAAAAAAGGTACCAGGGGCATCTCATGGGGCCCCCTACTGACCCCGAGCCCTCGGGCAGTGCCCAAGTTTCCAAATGGTCAGTCCGCCCCTGGCTGATAGTCAAAATCTCACAAGAAGACAAGCCTGGACAGTACACCCTTCCTTGGGACCTAGTTTGCAGCAGGATACATCACCCTTTTGTACAACAGATGTCAAGGAAAGGTGAACATATTATGTAAATATTTATCCCACTGCTGGTTCTTTTTTTGCCCTTTTATCTAGGGTTTTAGGGAGTGGGAAGAGGGGAAACTTGAAAAAGTAGATTTCTTCACTGAAGTACAAGGTTGGCTTTACATAAACATGGCTTTATTATATTAACCCTTGAGTGCATGATATGAATTAAGAAAACAGATTGCACATCCCAAGACCAGTCTAACAAAACCTATAAGACAAATCAAACATGAAGAGAACATTCCATCAGGGCTTTTAAAAAATACTTTTTACAGATACTGTAGCAATGGAACCCCAGGGTATGGATTTGCTTACACAGGTTTGGTGAGTACATTCCTTTTCAGAACATACATATTCATGTCTAAACAAAAATGCAGAACAAGTTATATAAGCTTTCCACTAGATAATAATACAGTTTCATCTGAGGTTGTATTTTTGTTTTAATGGCGTTTACTAATTGTTTTGTTTTTCTATGTTATTACCATGTAAATAAAAACAGTATGTGAATCTGACAATGACTATTAATGTTTTTCAACATGTGGATGTTTAAGTGTACTGAACATTATTTGAGAAGGAACACAAACTCATAGGTAGTTCAAACACCAGTGGTGGCCTCTGCCTTTCAAACTACTAATGGGTTTTTGCTCTTGAATATCCCCCATGATGGCTCCTCTAAGGACCTAGGACCAGGACCCCTATGGCATTGAGATCAGCCAGCCCTATCCTGTATGCAGACAAGAATAATCTCCATTTGTGTGCTAGGAAGGTTGCCTGTCTCACCAGAAAGGGTCACCACATCCTCACGGTAATTCTACCCAAATCATTGGTATTGTAATTATTAGTTCTACATACATACGTATTACATTATAAGGGGGCTCTCTCCTCTTATTTTTTCAGTAAATACCCTAGTTGGTTTCCTGGGCCTTCATCTTATTCCTTTGGCTACATCCCACTCAAGGACTGATACCACACGACCACTAAGTGTACTGAATGGCACATCCTTACTTTTCCAGGGCACTCTATTACCCAAATACTGACAGCCACCAAAAAGCTGTCATTTGGCCCCTCTCTCTAACCCTCTATGTGTTCCTCACCTTTGGGTATCGAGTTGATGAGCCATTCATGGTTAAAATAAGCTCTCAGGATACTCAAGAACCAAGCTGGATTGATGTGCAGGGACTTTCTATAGAACTGACAGCTTAATATATTTAGACTAGATTCACATTGCTGCAATATGACTTTGATCTGACTTTCAGTGCGATTTTGTAGTACAATTTGGATATGACTTCAAAGTGGTTTGCATATTCTGTGGGGCCAAAACCATGCTGGAATCACACCAAGGTAGTACAGAAAATCTTTGAAAAACTTGCACAGTGCTGAGTTGCACTGATGTGAATGGGCACCATTGGAAACAATATGATTTCCATTGTCATGTGATTCCGTCTGGCTCAAGTGGGGAAGAGTTAGAACCTCTGTCCACTTTTCATTGCTGTCCCAATTTCCTAAATTCTTTCCTTACTTTCTGTCTATTTGACCAGTGTCAGACAAAACAGAACATGGTGGAAAATCCATCCAAGGGGCACAGGGAGCAATAACCACAAATATTCTGGTATAGTGAGGATGATGTGGAACCACTGGCAAGATTTGTTTTCTGTGTCCCCACTGTGAAGTATTGCCAGCACTCCCTGTCTAGTTGACATACAGATTAGGAAGATAAATCTCTCTGTTAGGAAACAGAGCACTAAAAATCTATCAGAAAAATTGCCTTAAAGTGGAAGTAAAGTCCACTGTGTAAGTTGTACCTACAGGTAAGCCTATATGAGGTGGTATCAAAAAGTTTTGAGACTAGTTTTATAGCATTCCAACAGATGGCAGCACAAGGCTGCATGCACAGTCACAGAAAGCACTTAATTTAATAAGTTAGTGTACCAGAAGACATCATCCTGTCAGGAGCTGTGCAACTGGTGCTATTCTGACTATATGCATTACCACATCTGTTATTTCATCATGGACAGCAAGCTGCACAGCTTCCGATGTACACAGAAAAAACAGTGATGTTCTTCCGCTCTTGAAGCGTGCATGCCACTCAAAACACCTCAAATGACTTAGTGCAGCATTTCTGTAAACTTGCCGAATCATGTCAAACATCTCTGTGGCATATTTACCCAGTTTCATGCAGAATTTCATGTTTGCTCTTTGTTCTAACTTGCTGATCATAATGAAATAGCAGATGTGGTAACGCACATGGTCAGAATAGCACCAGCTGCACAGCTCCCGATGTACACAGGACGAAGTCTTTTGACACACTGACTAATGAAGGTCAGTGCTCCCTGTGACTGTGCATGCTGTCTTCTGCTGCCATTTGTTGGTGTGCTAAAAAACTAGTCTCTAAACTTTTTGATAGCACCTTATAAGGCTTACCTGTAGGTACAGTGAATATCTCCTAAACTTGCACTATTTAGGAGATATTCACACAGCATGCAGCCAGTGATGTCACATGCGCATGCACTCTGAAGGGACGGTACAGTGCGCTGGACCCTCAGAGCTCCTTGCTGCAGCCGTGGGAGTGAAGTCATCGTAGCTCCACCCATCCATACTGCCCGAGTCCGTGAAACCAAAAGAAGACCAGGTGAAGATGGCAGCATCGGGGAGCCATGACAGCGTGGCGCTGGAGGACTCCATGTACAGCTAAGTTTGTCATAATGTACTAATATGTGGTTCATACGTGTACATTATGACCTAAACCCATTATTTTTTTGGGCGGTTTGCTGCCACTTTAACAGAAACCTCCTTAATATTTAAAATCCCACAGAGTTTTACCTTTTTAAAACTATCTTAAAAGGGCAAACTAAATTGTAAGTATTGAGAAAATGTCCGTCCTTTCAATGCATTATAATGAAAAGTAATTTGTCAGTGAAATTGAAATGTTTATTATGTTTTTTTAACCACTTGAGGCCCAGGACGATTCTGACATTCCACTCCTACATGTAAAAATCCACATTTTTTTTTTTAGTTAGAAAATTACTTAGAAACCCCAAACATTATATATTTTTAAGCAGAGGCCCTAGAAAATAAAATGGTGGGTGTTGCAATTTTTTATGTCACGTGGTAATTGCGCAGTGGTTTTTTAAACGCAATTTAAAGAAAAAAAAAAGTTAATGAATTTTAGTGCACACAAACATAACATAATACCCAATTTGTTGGTAAAATATAAAAGATGTCATGCTGAGTAAATAGATACCAAAGATGTTATGCTTTAAAATTGTACACACCCATGGAACTGCGACAAACTATGGTACATTAAATTATCCATAAGCAATGCTTTGAAAGCCTTTACCAGTTTAAATTTACATAGGAGGTCTGGTGCTAGAATTATTGCTCTTGCTCTGATGTCCGTGACGATGCCTCACATGTGTGTTGCAATCAGGGACAATGCTAGACTATTTTGCACCCTAGACAAGACCAGCTACTTGCACTCCCCCCCCCCCCAAAAAAAAAGAATACCTTTTAAAAACTAAATCAACAAAACATGAAACTGCTAAATTTCTTTTAATTTGCAAAAATAAGTGCCATAAGATGCCACCAGCACCCCTATTTAAGACAAAATCAGGGTCACGGCTGGACTGTATCTGTGGCTGGCAGTGGCAGGGTGACAGTTGCAGTGAGTGGAGGATGATGGATCTGCACTATGACAGATCCCAGGCTGGAATTCCCCAGGCAATGGGAGGAGATAAAACGCTGAGAGCAGGCAGCCCAGCCCCCACACACAGAACACCTGAACTGAGCGATCCCACACAGTGACAGATCCGACACAACACATCACCAGCAACACTGACACAGATCAGCAGGCACTAAAAGAACAGGCTGTGGGATCATGATGTTGTCACTCACTGACATATTGCACATGTGATGGATGGCCGGCCGGGTCACATTCACACAGACACCAGACATCAGAGTCAGGCATTAGCTTCCTCTGCAGGTGCAGCACCGTCTCTGATTATGAATGGGAAGAGAAGGGCTGAAACTCCACAGTGATCAGCAGCCACCAGCTGGCCTGCAGTAAGGGACTGAGTCTGAGAGGAACACTGGAAGGAGCTGCAGTTCAGTTACTACAGTGGCCCCAGACACCCGGCATCTTCCTCTGTCCTTTCTCCCCTCTGAAGCCCCTCCCCTCAGCTGAAGGATCATTCATGATGTGGCAGCATCCCACACAGAGAGAGTGCCAACCTGGGCTGTGCCCAGGCACCCCTTGGTGGCAGTGTGCCCCAGGCAGCTGCCTAGTTTGCCTAGTGGAAGCACTGGCCTTGATTGCGATCAATGTTTACGTGTGCATGCAGGACCGAAGTGGTTGTTCGCCTTTGCGCACAAGCACTGGGGTGTATTAACAATTTTTAATTAAATTATTTTTCTCTTACACTGTACCTTAACATTTCTTTGATCACTTTTATTGCTATCACAAAGGATGAACAACATGCCTTTTGACAGCATGAGCCATGACAAGTCCTCTTTACGGAGAGATTTTGGGGTCTATGAAATCCCATATCTCTCCTTTGACTTGTAAACAAAGGAACCAAAACCGAAAGTGACTAAATCCTCGTCGCTTCTGGTTTCTGACATCACACATTGGGAGATACATCAGTTCCTCTCACTCTGTTCGGGAAGCCGCTGTCACTGGTGGCATCCTTACCAGGCTCTCTGATTGCCCGGTAGGATAAAGGTGGTATCAGGAAGTGGGGGTCCCCTTTTGCAGCCTGTAAAAGTGATCCAGCAACTCCTTAGCTGCTCAGATAACTTTTACAAGTTGTAGAATCTTCGGCTCTAAAACATGATATCTTGGTCATGGCTCCAGTGGCAGCAATGACCAAGATATCACCCTTCCAATCCACTGACATACTGGTATGTTGCTGGTCATTAAGTGGTTAATTTTTAACTTGGTTGGCATTTCAGTGCCATTGTAATACAGCAAACATGAAGAACAAGGTAATAAAGGCTGGGGGACTCCCGCATAAAAGCAGAACTACACTTTCATAATGAACATTAAAGTATAACTAAAGGCAACATTTTTTTAAAGTTTTGGATATGGATTAGAACACCTGTCAGGTTTTTATTGCTATCTCTATCCCCATTAGGGAGATTCACCCTTTCTATTTGTCCTGTTTATCATTATTATTGAAAGCAAGGGAAAATCCCATATTTTGGGTTGTCTGCAGTACAGTAATAGAGGGGAAATCTTCCAATGGGGGAACTAGTTCTGGGGGCCCCATGGGATTCCCTTAATTGCAGGGATTTCTTCTCACTTCTTGTTTTGGCTGTGGGACAGGAAATTAAGGTAAATCACCACAATGGAACACAGATGACAAAATAGTAGTAATTAAAAAAAGACAGGGGTTATAACCCTCACTTATCCTATCCAAAATTAAACAAAACAAGTTTTGCTTATAGTTCTACTTCAACCACTTCCAGTCCGGACACTTTTACCCCCTTCCTGACCAGGGCAATTTTCAGCTTTCAGCGCTATCAAACTTTGAATGACAATTGTGCGGTCATGCAACACTTACCCATATGAATTTTTTACCATTTTTTTGAGACAGATAAAACTTTATTTTGGTGGTATTTATTCACTGCTGGGATTTTTATTTTTTTTTTGCTATGTAAATGAAAATGTCCAAAAATTTTGAAAAAAAGTGTTTTTCTTATAAAATTTTGCAAATAAATATTTTCATCTTAAATCTTGGCCAAAATGTATTCCGTTATCTTTTTAGTAAAAAAAAAAAAAAATAAGCCAAATTAGTTTATAACCAAAAATTATAATTTTTAAACATTTTTTTTTACATTTTTTTTATATTATTTATTTTATTTTATTTTTTTTTACATACTGTCACCCTAGCAGTACAGTGCCACCATAGTGACACTGTACTACTACTCCTTCTCTCTGTCTGCATTCTTGCAGCCATTGAGAACTACTGAGTGAGCTGTGATTGGTCACAGCTTGTCACATGGTACAAGGCTGTTGTGAATAGTCTTGTACCATGTGACCTCTGTGATCATTCACAGATTTCACACATAGTAAGCAATGATGTCAGAAGTGACATCTTGCTTACTACTTTGCATGTGATCACTGAATGGCCAATCAGTGATCACATGATCAGGACCTCGTACAGAGGTCCCGTCCGATGATCGGTGTTTCACTGAGTCTGGAGGACACAGCGGGCACCGGATCGCGTGTGCTGCGCGCTCCCGGGGAGCGCGTATAAGCAGGGTGCGGGGAGGCCGTTTATAAACGGCCACCCAACCCTGCAGTGCCACTGTCCAGCCGTTTATATACGGCCGGTCGGGAAGTGGTTAACTACTGTTAATCCTTAGGCTGCTAGTATTAGTAAATAGGTAGGAAAGAATATTATAGTTATGTGTTTTAAAACATTTTTTTACTTTTCTTCGGTTGCTTCCCTGTATGTTCATGAGCATTTTTTTTCATTATCTGGAGAAGGGAAGGAGGGGCTTTCTCAGCTAAGCACATTGTCCTGCCTGCATGCCTGAGCTAAGGGCAGATGAATTTCAGGAAGTAAATGCTACATGAATTATCTGCCCTTACTCATGCTTGCAGTGGCTATAAATATTAAGGTGGTAGTTTTCAAAGTGATCACTCAACAAGAGAAATCACAGCAACACGGAGAGTAGAGTGAGTTTGTTTTGAATATTAAAAAATGAATTAAATGGTGTTTTCAATGTGCAGTGCTCAGATACAGTTTAGTATCAATTTGAATACCAGATACTACTGCTAGACACTTACAGAAGATCCTGACTTTTTCCTCCAATAAAATGATACAGGAATGAAAAGTGCTGCCTCCTATACATGAAATTGAGATTTATCAACACTAAGACATACAAAATGCTTAGCCTGCCTTTCTTTCACCTTCCTGGTAGTCAGGCTTACCATATTTCAATTCAATTCCCAAACATTTGCTATATTTAGCTCATCCTCACTACTGAATCCCACTAGTACAAAACAAGCCAGCAATTTTTTTATTTTAATGAATGGGATGATAAACTGAGTGTGGATTGATGGCAGGCTTAAAATGAATCAGTCTGTTGCTTACATTGTATGTTGCACCTGTTAAGATATCAAATACTCGGAGCACTCAGCTGGCACACAATGACAGCTGTAGATGGAACACAGGTCTGGCCTATATTACACAGTGGATCTGTGAAAGGGGGATGCCCAGCCTGGAGTTGGGTTTTAACCACTTCAGCCTCAGCCACGTACCCATACATTGAGGGGCTGAAGGGGCAATGATTTCAGCCAAAAGCATCATCCAAGTATCTTTTTTTTCAGCTGGCTACAGGCTTTAAATGTAAAAAAGTAATCCTAGTGGCTCTGGGGTGGTCCTTTTCTTGCCTTTATCCAGCCCTTGGGGCACTGTTCCTCTCACTGATACAAGACACTAATCCTCTCTCTGACATTAATGAAGTACTATTCTTCCTACTGACACCAATGGTGGGGTGCTATTCCTCTCACTGACACCAATTATGAGGCACTATTCCTTGCACTGACACCTATGTCTGGCTCCTCCTAAAGTCTGATGGTCAGTAAACTTGCCCTTTATTTAGAAAGTTTGGAGACCCCTGGTCTAAGAAACCGGAAGAGATTAATATTTTGTCACTTTTGATTTCAGTCTAATGTAAACAGGGCCTTATCTGGCATTTTATTCTCCAAGGCCTCTGAATAACACAAAATGATGTTTGGGGGTTCTAAGTAATTTTACTGGGCAAAAAAATGCTGATTTTGATAAATATGTAACTGGAGCCAAAGACGCCGTGACGTCATGCCGCCGGTGTCACGTGGAGGCCTGGCGGCCATCTTAATTACTGGACAGTTAGTCCATGTGAATGTCACTCTGCTGCTATACTCTGCTGTTTTACTCTGCTGATTTTTGGAATTACTAATCACATTTGTGACATAATAAATTATTGTTTTACTACCTACTACACTATGAGCATTCTCTATGGTCTCCTCCACGGAGCAATTTATTTATAGAGCCCTTCATGATCCAGTCCACCTTAAAGTATCCAGAGAAGAGAGTCAGGCTTCTACACCTGTCCATCCCTTAAAGGGATCTCTGGCCAGCTGGATCCTGTTTCTACCTCTGAGCTCCTGACAAACACCCCCATACCCAAAAGGAGGATTAGCCCGGATTAGGATCTCATCCAACTCCTAAAGGGGACCTCTGCAGTATTATTTAATGCGTATTTACGCATCTGGTGAGTGAGTAATTTTACCACACAATTTGGAGCACTATTTGCGGATTCTACAGCTTATCTGCACCTAGACCTGCACAGACTGTCACTTTATTGGCATACTCCCGAACATTATTATTATAATTTCATAGCGCTGCACCTATTTATTTTTTATGATATGCTTTGTAAAGCACAAAAGCGTGAAATAAATATACAGACACTTTTTTGTACCAGCGTCTGGCTTTACAGGAAACTAAGTATGGCTTCATCGTCTGGTCGTTGAAGTCCACTCCTCCCATGTTAAGGTTATAGTCTGTGGACACAGAGGGGCTTCTCACCAACACTAGCTGCCATGCAAGTTGGACTGTTGTGTCTGCGTGAATGGAAGCCAGGACAAAAATATCCCATTTGTCCTTCCATTTCACAGTAAGCAATTCATCATTTTTCAAGCAAGCTTTCTTCCCCTTTCTAAGTTGGTATTTACAAGCCATTGGGGGAAGCCCCGGTGATTAGGTCGCATGGTACTACATAAGCTAATTCCAAGATTGTACAAATGTCTAAATAGTGGCACGCTTGTATAACAATTGTCCACATATAAGTGGTACCCCATATGGAAAAAGGGTGACATCAAGTCCCAAACTATCTTGCCACTTTTCCCTATGTTTTCTGGG